TGAGAATTCTGTCCCAGTTTCCATCTCCATAGCTACATTTTGTTAGGAGGACAGAGATCTGCCTGTTTTTCAAATCAAGTTATTTTTAACATGCTTTCCAGTCCTGGAGCCCTGCGTAAGAGAGCCAGATCTCCAGCGGGGCAGTGGGAGGCAATGCCTCCAGAGCCGTGTCAGAAGAGCAGAGCCTCCAGCGGTAGGGCACTGCCCGGGCATGACGCTTGGCACCCGCCCTCCCTCCCTGCACTGGAAGAACACCGCTGCGTGTGTGGTGTTTCCGTTGTGCGCCCGATGTCTTGTTGCACAGACATCAAAGGCAGCTCATTTTATTGTGGCAGTGCTGTGTTACTGCAGAGTCTAGAGTAATGGCTGGAGGGGTTGGCTGGCTGCTCCTTATAAAAGGGTTTTCCTTTTCTCATGAGGCTTAGCTGTTTCTGCCAAAAAACAAGGCTGTACAATCCAAGACATTGTGTGTCTGTTTTTACACTCTTATGTAGTTTAGCACAAGATGTCTGTCGGGGGCCAAATGTAACAGTTACAGACAGATCTCTTCCCCAGTCTGAAAACTTAATAAAAAATAAAATGGCAGTTAGGATTGAGCGTGCTGTGTGCAGTTGTAGGTTAATACCACCAGGTGGCAGTAGTGTCAAGCACAGGTCCTGAGAACCCCAGTCCTGTACATTTTAGAGGCGATATTAACTCGCCTGTTTCTCAAGATTAAGAACACTTTCACCATATAGATCAATTTAAGAAAATACTTTGCCCAGTATTATGAAATCTTGTCATAAAAGCTTTAACTGGACTCTTTACCCCTTAACCTTTCAGCACTGAGCCATCAGCCTCCTCCTGTCCTCAGATGTCTTGAATCTAGGAGAGTCCATTTCACCCACAATAAATCCAAACCAGGTCTGGATGTCCCGGTCCAGAACCCAGCAGGTTCCCTTCCGGCATGCCTCTCGAAGCTTGTCCACCTGTTGGAATTATACTGGGAGAGCAGTTGGATCATCCACACAGGAGAGATCATCCTATTGAGATAGCGGTGGTATTGGGTGTATACTGGGACAGCAGTTGTATTTGGATTACCCTAGGAGAGGAGAAGTGTTGGTATTATTCTGGGAGAACAGCTGTATAATCCACACAGGAGAGACATCAGCCAAATGCGAGGGGCAGTTGTGTTCACATTGGATTAAATTATTTTGTGCTATATTCCTCCTGGTAGAGCATTTTTATTAGGATTATTCCTGGACAGAGTTTAGCATCCACGCGGGAGAGCAGTTACTTTGATCCGGCCCAGGTTGAATCGGGTTGATACATCGCTTCTGCTTAAATCTTAATCCTCTGGTGGTTTTAATTGAGCCAGAAAATCGGCAAGGCTGCCGCCCTGCTTGTAGGTTAAGAGTTCATTGATCGGGAACCCTGGGTGTCTCTGGCACCTTGAACTGTGACATCCTGAGCGTGATACTCTTCTGTCCAGACTGTACGCACAAGCCCTTTGCCACACACATAGGTTCCTGTCCTGTCCCGGTGAGAGAGATGATCCCACAGGGATCTGGGGTTCCTGTCCTGTCCCGGTGAGAGAGACGGTCCCCCAGGGATCTGGGGCTCCTGTCCTGTCCCGGAGAGAGACAGTCCCCCAGGGATCTGGGGCTCCTGTCCTGTCCCGGTGAGAGAGAC